TAATAATCAGAGGAGAAATTATATAGAGTCACAGGTCAAAGAAAACACATTTTGGTAGATTTGCTTTTATGTGATGGCATTACATGTGATATCTTTGCACTGTCTGGTTATCAGCTTTCAGTTTTTTTGTTTATTGTCTTCTTTCCCCTGTTTGACCTTAATGATCGACTTTAAATCTGCCCTTTGAGCACTCTACTTTTGCCTGTCTGTTACAGCACTTATTATTATTATTATTATTTTTTTTAATATATCTACAACTAAAAAAGCCCATTTGGAAGCTTTCAAGCTCATTTTAAATGCTGTCAGCTACAAAGGTGGATGTGACACACAGAAGCAGGTCAGACATACCGGCAGAGTGGATGAGTGCAGAGCTTTCTGGATCCATGGCCAAGTTCCCTAAAGCGCGGGCTGCTCGGTTCAGGACTGTTTCCAGTGACACATTTTTCTTAAGGATGTCCACTACAACAGGCATTTTTCAGATATAAGTTATGATAAAGATTGCTTAAATTTAAAAAGTATAATATATAGTATAACAATAAATCACCACTTACCTACAATATTTATCCCATCAAGTTTACGCACCTGATATTGTAGGAAAGTAGGAAAACATTTTAAAAGTTAGTGACATTAATAAACAAACTCATCTATTATTTCTTGTCTCACCTCTATTCGTGTCTCCAGCTCAGTGCAGCAGTTGCCCAGGATGCTAAGAGCGAGATCCAGAGTTTTCCTCGAGCACTCTGGGTGTTTAATCAGATCCAACAGGTGCCGGAGACCACCCTGACCTCTGAATCTGGCAATGCCAGCCTTGCCGCCCTTGATGTGCTGCGTCCTAATAGCAACAAGCGCTCGCCACTGGGAGACTTTGGACCTCTTGTCCGTTTCTCTGGCACCGCCTGAGCCTGACTGTCCCTGACGCTCAGACCCCGATCCAGATTTGGAGATGTGAGTCAAGCACCAGGTCAAAGAAGACTCTGGTGATGGTTGTCCTTCCCTGGAAGGAGTTCTCGGGTTTTTTCTGTCACATTCTGCAGCCATGGCCCCCCGGATTTCCAGGTAACAGGTGTACTTGTTTTTAATTTGTCCTCCTCAATTAAAACAAATATCACAGGCGCCGCGAGGCATCACTGGACGTTTCCAGTAAAACACCGAGAAATTATATACCATGTCCTTTCCACTTGGATATACTCAACTCTTGGTTTAGTTCATTGTCTTTAAAGTTTCCGGAAAAAAGCGACTTGTGTGGTAAGAACTACAGATACCAGCATGAAAAAGGAAAGTGTTACCGCCTGACGCCGCACTCCCCGACGGGATATGGAGTTCCGACGGCTTCGGTCCGCTCCCTTTAAAACTGGCCTATATCGTAAGAAGGCCAAGCAAACGTTAATCGACCAAGTGGACGTGTATTTTCTCGGTGTAATATATTTTTTACACACAAAATGACGAATTAAATCTCTATTTTATCAATGTTTTGTTACCACTGGCCGAATAATTTTTGTGAAACAAACTGCAATCGAGTGGGTTAGCCGCTAACGCCATCTTTAGCCAAACAACAAAACAGGGTCGGCCGAGGGAGGGAGCAGGGAGTGAAGAGGTGGGTCGGTTAAAAATACTCTGGGACGTGTAGTTCGAATTTGATAGCGCCCAGTTCCTCTTATGCGAACCATCCTTTTGAAAAACTACACCCCCCATGATCGCGACAAATCGTAGCCTACGTTAAAAGAGTCAAAGAGTTTAGGGATTGTAGTTCATCCGCTAATCCAGAATACTAAAAAGAATAGGCGTAATAACCAAAATGAACTACAATTTCCAAGCTACCAAGCGACGTTGTTATAGTCATCGTCTTTCTCGACGCGAGAGAGGGCATCGGTGACTCTTGGATGTTGTTAAATTCCGCGATAGATACACCGCTAGTAAATAAAAAAAACAACTTTAACTGTAATGGTTGTGCTTTTAATAAGATGGAGGTAATCGAGACAATTGTGATTCAAAACTCCGAAGTGGAAGGAAAGGAAACGGTCGTGTCCAGTGTGGATACGGATAAAACAAAAGCAGGTTAGTACTCAGCAGGAACGTTTCCAGGATTTTTTTTTTTCTTTTTTTGTATGGGGCGGGGTGGAGAATGAGAATGGGGGGGGCAAGAACAACAACAACCTGGTTTATTGCATTAAAAGTAGCACTGCACAAAATTTGTATTCAATAAAAACTGCTTTGCAATGTAGCTAAATATGCATTTACACACCCTTTCAGTTAAGTAAAAGTTAAGCATACAAAGTACCTACAATAAAAGTACTTGATGTAGTAGTTAATACAAAATCATATACATTATTTTATGGTTGGTTTTATTAGTATTATTATTGGAATAGTTTTATTTATATTTTTAAACTTAATATGTGACTATAGCTTTAAAATATAGATCAAGAACAAGATATGCATCCAAAATATAGTGCAGTATTGGAAAATACCATAACGCAGAAAAACGTAATTGTAGTTGTATTGCAGTTGTAGTTCTACTCATGATGTTCAGCATTTTAAGAAAAACTGTACTGTAGACCAAGGCATTGTCTTTAATAACTCAATCTGATCATCTACCTTTTTTCACTCCTAGAATTTATCTGGACAGTTCAGGCTACATGGCATCTAGTCAATACCCGGCTTGAAATGGATCAGGCCTTTGACCAGCCAGTGTGCAAGAAAAAGAAACTCTGGGAAATGGTTGCAGAGAAGGTCAATGCCAAATTGAGGGAGTCAGAGGTCACTGATGTCACTGTGAAGGCGTACGAATGTGATCTCAAGTGGAGAAACATGCTGGCCACATACAGAAAAAACGCAGAGAGGGCCAAGAGGTTGGGAGTGACCAGCGTCCACTGGGAGTTCTTCAAAGCTATGCACGAAGTCCTGGGTAAGAGCAGGGAGGAGATCGAAGCCCAGCGCAGGGCCAAACTCAGCGGGACCAAAGTAGGAAAAGCTATAGCGAGCAAGAGGTTTACCCCTATCCTCCCTACGCCTCCTGCAACAGCTGCTCCCTGCCCCACCAGGCCTCCGCAGGATGTCCTGCAGCTGTACATGGAGCTGCAGGAGAGGAAGATGAACATGTGGGCGCAGCAGAAAGCACTGGAGGAGCGAAAAATAGAGGCCATCAACAACCTGGCCCAAGCCATCTCCAGCCTGGCTCAGAAGAACGGCACACAGACATCAAAGGATGGACATTAGGAGAGAGAAAACGCGAAATTACCAAGACCTTCCAACACTGCATGAGAAGAACAGCTCGTTTGCAATGTCTAATGTTTGTAGACTTTTTCACATTTTTACCGTTACAGTTTACAGAGTAGCTTGGATTAGCAGGTGTACAGTATGAGGCCAGACTCACCTTTAACACAGCAGGCAGATTACAGTTCTCTTTAAACCTGTCTCTTTTTTCCTCCTGGTGCTCAAAATAATGTAAGAATCTTTTATTTTTATACCAAAATAGAAAACTTGGATGAAGTTGAAGAGTACACACAAATGGGGCATCCACCCCCATCTGTCAAAGAACTGTACGAAAATAAACTGTACGTAAATAAAGTAACCATTGCCGGGCCAAAAGCAGTCAAATACAATACAGATTTCAGTAATGGGATTAATGAAGATACTGGTATAAATGTTAAAGTATTAATAAGATACTCTTTGTTTATAACTCTGTCTCTGTTGTGTATTTTTTACGCTGAAAGCTTCCTGCAAATCTTTCCAGCACATATAGTTATTTAGTTTTAAAACAAATTATTAGCATAAGTAGCAATAATGCAGTGTGACAGGGCTAACCACTGAGCATTAGCACAGAAACAGGCTCTGACTATTACCTTAGAGAATGGTACAAAAAATACTGGAAGTTACCACCGTGCATCTTCTTATTACTACTCTAATATGACAACTTGCTCAAGCTAGAGGTGAAATATGCAGGGGGAGAAGACCTAAACACCTCATAGGTGACTGAGTGTGTGAGACTGCAAGGGCTCTAATTGAAGAAAGTAGAAATGGGACCGCTTTGCGACATATAATGTGACGATACTTTCATGACAGAACACATTTCATGCTATTGTGGTTTCTAAACTTTAAATTTAGGCTCTTTTTTAGGTCTTCCTGTCTACCAGGTGCCTGATTTGAACACAGAGAAGAATTTACTTAGAACTAACTTTGTCAAGGATTAAGAGTAATCTTCTTTCAGCTGCTCCTTTATTCACAAAGGGTCACCGCAGTAGATCCACATATTTGACTTGCTAGATTTTTACACGCGGTGCCATTCCTTTTTTTCCCCGCCTGTCCCATTTGGTTCTTTTGCCATCAGAATTATTGTCTAAAGGCAAAGAAAGATGCCCAACAGATTTACTTTACCAAATGGACCATCCCGGCCTTGCCGTATCAGTCTATTTGATTCGCGGTGACAGTCCTGACACGCCTTCCTCCCAATCTTGGACTATAGATCTTTTGTGTGTTAGGAAAATGCATTAACACCACACTATGGAGATGATTAAATTAAAAAAAAGCTAAACTCTTGATGAATGAATTCTGTGTAATATAAAGTGTCATTCATTTAAATTAATGAAAAGTTGGTTTGTTGTCATATTAAGGTTGCCAGCTACCGCCATCCCTGTTAGGTTATGCTTTTGGGTTTCCCTTAGTAACTGTTTTTAATGCATACACTACAGCGTGTATTAAAAAAATATATAAACATTGGTGTCACCTTCTGGTTAGTGAAGAGCTCGACAAGTTGTTACCTAATGAGCACATCTTGGATGATCTTCTTTCGACTCTTAATATTGACAGTGATTTACATAATAAATTTAATGCTGTGTTCAATTTAACCTGGAATGTGTTTACTGAAGTCTCAGAGCGAGGGAGGCCCATTTTCCCACAGAGATCCCTTCACCGCTCTCACTCTATGACCTCAGGGAAACCTTTGCTGTTGGTTTTTAGGGATTCAGTCACTACCTTCAAATGTTAATGAATGCAACATGCCAGGATCACGAGCACAACTGAAGTTTATTAACAAATTGAAATGTTCACGCGTTTCCATGATTAAAGCTTTTAAACAGAAAATCTGTAATGGAGTCACGTCTGCATACACCCTCGTCATCCGCCTCCCCCTCTTCATCTTGGGGTGTGGCTTCCTCCTTCTCTCCTTGAACCGCCTGTCCTAGGTCCAGAAACACATTATGCAACACACAGGCAGTCAGCACAACAGCTCTGGCTCGGTCATAGTTTCCAATATCCAGATACGTGAGCCTCCGAAACCTGGCTCTCAGATCGGCAATGGCCTGATCTAGGATCTGAAAATGCTCCTCCAGCGTCTTGTTAAAGAGCGCCTCTCTTGGTCCGTGACTTCCTGTGTACGGGGTAAAAATCTGATCAGTAAGTGGGTAGCCAGCTCTGGCCACAAGGCAGGAGCTGGAAGGCATTAGGTCAGGGTTCTGTTTGAGTTTGTCTCTTAGAGCACGACCTCTGTCCACATGAGATCCTTTACTGATTCTGCAGTGCAAGAACCGGCCTCTAATGTCACACACAAGCTCAAGGTTTAACCAAGAGTCAGGAGGGGCCTCCATCTTCATTCTCTTCACCTCAGGTATGGTGCTCTCCACATCATGTTTCCCTATAGGCAGGCGAATAGGGATCCGGGTGTGTCCCAACACTCCCAGAACCTGAGGAACACCTTGTCCTCCTTCTACTTCCTTTTTTCCAATTAGATTGGAGAATGGGAAAAGTGCCTCTACAGCCTCTTTCCCTGAAGAACAGAGAGAAAATATTATCATCATCATAATTTGCCCACATATGATTAATGACCCAACAAATTAACACACCAGCTGGCCATTTGATGTGCCTCTCTTCCAGCATGTTTATGCGCTGGCAGAAAGAGAAGAAGATCCTGTGGATGTTTCCCTTCTCCAGCTGGAAGCGGCGAGACACAGTGCGGTAACTGACTCGCTCGGACAGCAGTGTGAGAGACAGGAGGACAGTGTGGGACATTGATAAGCGAGCCCGTCCAGCCATTCGTGTCCTTGATTTGGAGCTTTGAAGTAGGTCTGAAATGTACTGGTGAAACACAGAGACACAAACAAAATACAACAGTATTTAATAGGCATGTATCCACTTTATTCTCCTTCCGGATCATGCAGAGTTTCTGGTTTTCTACTGGGATGCCAGCCACATCTCAAAGAAAAAGATGCATTTTCCACTTTTTTTGGTGAGATAAAACAAATGAATCCAGCAAAAAGTTATAAGATTATGGAGTAATGACAAACATATGAAATGCAGAGCTTATAATTTGATTAAAGGCATTGTTATACATGATTGGTACACTTTAGAAATTACTTAGTTTATCTCATATTCAGGTTCAAATTCTTTTTAATTGACTTTTGAATATCATGTTAAATTTGAGTTTGAAAATTAAAAAAACTGGCCAAAAATTGTCACTATTGTTTTTAATAGTAGTTGAAAACTGTAAAAGCTTTCTCAGAGGAAAACTAAAGCCACAAAACTACCTTGATCGCTGGATTATCCACAGTATCAACCTGCTCCTGGGACTCTGCAGCCTCCTCCTCTTTCTCTTCCTCCTGCTCGGACGGACTGGATGTTGTTGCTGTGTGTAAAACTTGGGGCCCCACCTGATTCTGTAGTAACTGTACGTAAATAGTATTGGTAAGAGGAGGACGACGATGGGACTGCTTTTCCAGTTTTGCCAGGAGCTGTGACTCCAGGATCTCTTCCACCGCCTGGTCCAGCCTGTGCTCCAGCTCGCCCGCAGACAGAGGCTGCCACTCCCGCTCCACCATGTCCAGCACGGCCCTGCCTGCCGATAAAACACATTCACTGACATCCATTTTTTTAAATACCGGCGATAGAGAAACAAGATGCTTTCAGAGCATGGAAGCCAAGAAGAGGTCACCGGTCCTTTCAAGCAGTTGCAAGCCCATTCTGTTGTTAGCACTATGCTAATCTAGCCCGCTGGCTAGCTAGCTAATGTTTGCTGCTTTCAGGGAATGTCGGAATTTTGGCAGACTCACTGAGACGTTGAAAGACAGTGACCGTATGAGCACACTAAAGTTTTTCTTCATCATTATAAACAGAAGTGTAAATGGTACACAGACAATAAAATAAATAAATCAAACAGTGAGCAATACAGAGACAGAACAAGGACAAAATAAGTCACATTACGTTAAGTGGAAAAAAAATTCAAAAACTGATTTGAGAGATTGCCAAGCAGCCTTTCTAATACCGTACTTATTAGAAAGTTCATTAATCAAAAAATCTATTATTTTACTAGTGTAACTTTAAAAGCTGTTAATTTGTATTTACAATATGAACAAAATAAATATTATACACATTTGGTTTTGGACTGCAATATGAAAAATATCTTTTGAGAAATTTTCAAACATTTTCACAAATTAGTGTTTGTATTAGTTTGTACAGAGATGTTTCTGATGTCAGTGCTCTGGCAAAGTTGAAATGTTGATAGAGTTATCACTTTTTTTGTCTTGATTTATTTACCTCTTGAAAGTAGACCCAGCATATTTAATTACAGTCACATATTGTTTTGTTCATTTGAATACTGTGTTAAAGAAATATGTCTCAGAAAGTTAAAGGTGAAAATAAACAAGAATGGTCAAATCTATTTTTAAGTCAACAAGAAGATTTTCCTAAAAGGAGGTTATTTACACCACAGGCAATAAAAAGTCCCAACTTCTTCTGTTATCGTCACTATTTTGGTTGTTTCAGTCCAATTTTGATGCTTTCCAGTGAAGGAGATAGTAAATAGAAAAGAGCCAGAACATTATATAACAGAAAACCAAAAGATTGATATCCACAATTATAGCAGTAATTAAAAGACAGGATAAATAAGAGACTGCACTTCGCAGTTTAGTGGTTTAGATTTTTAGACGAAGCAATGCCCAGTTCTGGGTCCTACTATCATTCAGAGTAAACAACACATATCCTGCCAAATTACATTCTGGCTGAATAAAGTTCCTTATTAGTTAGAAAGCCAATTTAATACACACCAGTAGAACCTGCCCAGTGCTGGATGACGCCAGATTAGGCAAGACGTTGGTCCTTAAAAAAAAAAAAAAAACAGAAACAGTGCTACATAATGTATAACACAAAAAATGAGCTTGGCACATAAAGTAAGTCCTTTGTTGTAACAGCGCTTCTTGGCAATAAATCTTATACCATCGGACAGCCTGCTTATTTCCTCTTTAATCAGGGGTGGGGAACTCCAGGCCTCAAAATCTAGTGTCTTGGTTTTAGATATCACCCTTGGTCAACACACCTGAATCAAAGGACTAGTTCATTAGCAGGGCTCCGGAGAACTTCAAGACATGTTGAGGAGGAATTTAGCCATTTAAATCAGCTGTGTTGGATCAAAGACATCTAAAACCTGCAGGACACGGGTCCTTGAGTTCTCCCACCCCTGCCTTAAATAGTGCCACATTTGTAAGGAAAATCCATTTGTGGATTTGATGAATTGCTGCATAATTCATCAAATCACACTTCTAAAGCTGGCTTCAACAGATTTCAATGTTAAAATTCACAGATTTACAGCCTGGCTCAAAAATGGCTTTTGGCTCCTATGGATAGTTTCGTCATTCATAACAGCTTTACAATCTGTGTGTTTAGATAAGTCATCCACTTGTCAGATTTCCCGAAATATTATTTTCTGTGCGGTACAGACCTAAGTAGCTTGTGGTGTTTTAACAGCAGCTGCTAAAACACCAACATCGTGGCTTCATCAAGGCCAGAGTGGCTGTGGGCAACATTTTACACCGTCTATGTTCAAAGATCACTTTAAATTGTACAAACACACAACAGTACACACATGTGAAAAACAATTCTTTTAATGTTAAACCAGTTACAAGTGCAACTTTGATCATCACATCCCACTGTTTAACAGCCTCAATCTTCAAATATGCTTTTAAATGTAATATTAAACAGCGTCTTTTCCCACACCCACCAGGCCATTACATCTTCTTCCTGTAATAACAGACTTTTTTTTTTTTTTTGTAATTATTATTAAGTTTCTAGATCATGAGACCCAGTGTTACACCATAATGTGACGTTTTGATGTGCAGAAGTGTTTATTTCTAATACAATTTTATTTTTATTTTTTGAAAATAATACGCATTATGGTATTAACAGTGTAAAATACAGCACAAACTGCAGCATGACATAAATGAGCTATGGTTCCGGGATAAATGGGAGGCAAAATAAGCAGCCAGGCACAGCTCATAATTTAACCACGACATGTCACCTCTTCACTTCAGACTGTCAAGCAAGTCACAGGTTACAACCAATCGTTGCTGAGGAAAGGTGAAGAGGTCTCCATCAATGTTAAGAAGGGAAAAGTAAAGAATAATCGCCACAACTTGAATTTTGATTGCTGCTATGCCTGAAGACGTGTACTGAAGATCCAAATGAGTCATTCAGTCTCAGTAACTTAGATATTCACAAACTCCGAGCTATTGCAGCAACACATATCCAAACCACCCCCCAAAAAAGTTAATCCTAGTAATATTTTAATAAAGAAACACAAACATAAAAACCTAAAAATGCGACACCTTGTCAAATCCCACTCTGAAGCCAGCAAATTAAAGAACACAAGTAAGGCAGCATCAGCCTTACTCCAAATAAAGACTAGAATTCATTAAATACGAGGTACAATTATTCATGTTCAGCCTTTACCAACCCCGTGGATGACTGACAGTGTCGTGACAAGTCCGTCAGGTATCTCTGTGGGGTCTTTTGTGTAATTATCAATTTATCTAGCATGCGTTCGCCGATTTCAGGACAAAATGAACCACTTCGAAGCACCCTCACATTTACACCAAGGGGGAATCCGCGTTTGAAATTGTTTACGCCCAGCTGAAGATCAGTCGTCGGCAAGGCAAAACTTCACCCGCTGAGGCATCACTTCCCAAAAATTCAACCCCTCCCTTCGACCCCCTGTGCGTCCCTCTCGTTTCCCCCGCCTCTGAGCTCACTGTACAGCCTGCTCGTTGGCTGTGCTGCCTGAATCCTGGGGCTTCATGACGTCGGGGAGCTCAGGGGGAGTGGAGAAGGGCTCAATCCTCAGCTGCTCAAAGGAATCATCTGGGAGAACGACAGAAAGTTAAAACACAGAGAGAGACAAAAGAGACATTAAATTCTGGAAAGACATCAAAGTAACATGAAAGGAGATCCAAAGAAATGAATAATTTTGTATCCAGGGGGACCTGAATTTTAAAATAACAGTTTTTAAAATGCCAAAAAGTCACAAAGTGTTTGTTTTGGACAACTAGACCAATGTTGAACACTGAATAAGTTAAAAAGTATTTTGCTTCCTCCACTGGAAAAAAAAAACTCTTTGAAAAGCTCTGGCAATCTTTTCTGGCAACATTCCCATTTTTCCTGTTTTCACTTGTATTTTAAGACCATCTCCCGGCAGTCTGTTTCTCTCAGGAAACTCCCAAACCTGCACGACTCTTAAACTTTACCATGAATAACTGGAATACACAGATCAGTACGTTTTGTACGTTCAGCCAACTTTGCCCAATTTGCCAGATTGTCTATGAAATGCACACACAGTACACACTCCAAATATAATTTCAACCCATCTGGCGGCACAAACTGGCAACCCGATTCAAAGGATGTGCCTTGCCAATCTCTACACAGACACCACAGCTGAGTTCTAAATAAATTACCTCTTTTTACCATTTCATCTTTCTTTACTACAAAGACGCAGTAAAATCGCAAGACATAAACAATGATGAGTTCAGCCACATATATACCCATTTCAGTGTGTGTGACACAGGGCGATGGACTTTGCTAAGTTGGACACATTTACCAAACCGAGCTTCCAGAGTTAATAACACATAATCAAAAACTTGTAAAAATATAAACGCCTCTTTCCAACTGTAGACAACAAGTTGCAACAATTTTCTTTAAAAGCTGGACAATTTAACAGGAGTGGTTATAGCTCACATTTGGCTTGAAAGAGGATAACATATTACAATAACTTACAGTTCAAACAGCAAACTATGACTAGCTTTGCTTACCCATTAGTTGTGGTGGGAACATATCCTATTTAACGTTATTTAGGAAAGTACTTAAAGCCTTTACATGCTGGGCGTGAAAAATCCTTGCGAGCATTTTGGTGCAGCCATTCCCACCGACTGCGTAATTTTATAGTACTAATTTTTTGGGATCAAGCTCAATTTTTAATCATGTGAATGATTGGCGTCACCAATCAGACCACTGCAATTACCAACAAGTGTGCTTGTAGCTCCAAATGTACACCGATACTGAATACACAAATAGTAACATAATACAATTTCAGCTCAGACACAGCTAAACGCCGTTAGTCGGCTCTCTGAAATGATTTCTTTGCCTCCTCAGATGTGGTCCCAACTCTGCCAACAAGGGTTCAAACTGCCCCACTGACATCGTGATACAGCTTCAACTCCTGTACCAAACCATGAAATTCTGCCTTCTTATCGGAACTGGACAAACCTGGAATCTCCGGTTCTTCATTTTCTTGTTTAAAAACAGCAGAACCAGCTCATCTTTGCTTGATGCAGACTCATTTTTTTTTAGTAGTACATTCTTTTGAGGACAATTTTTTCACAAAAAGCAACATTTTGGATATGTGCATGTACGTTAAACCAGCGGTCCCCAACCTTTTTTGCGCCACGGACCGGTTTATGTTCGACAATCTTTTCACGAGCCGCCCTTTAAGGTGTCGCGGATAAATACAACAAAATAAAACCAGTACCGGTACCAATAAAAAAAAAAAATAAAAAATGAAGATTTATTCATAACACACGAGAAAAGACCCAGGGAAACCGAGTTAACTATAAAAAAAATAACGTTAAAAAACCCTGAAAACCACAAATTTCACACCCAAGCATCAACTTGCGGTATGATACCAAACGACTCACGGTCTGTGGCCTGATATATATGCTACAACAGAACTACAAACTCCCAGATTTTGAAACTTAAATGTTGGTAGGTATGTTTTTGGAACTTTAGAGATAATTTGGATTGTATAGCGCATCGATGTGACAAGTTGCTTAGTGTAAACCAGAATCCAGAATGTAGAATTTGGCTGTTATCTTTTTTTCCCTAAACCTGAGTTCAGATCAAGCAAATAAGCTCACAGTAAAATCTAGTATTGAGGTGGGTTAGAAGATGAACTACTCACCGCTCAGACGAAACGCTAATCCCACCGTGGCCGGGGCCTGAGGCCGGGCTGTCTGATTTGTGAAGCCGCAGTTTCCAAGAGTTTGACTGTCATTAAGCAGCACGTCATCCTGAAGAAGAAAGAGTTAAAAGAAGCAGACATCTTCAGAGATTTGCAGGATCAAGTTTGCAGGACAGACTGTTTTGTAACAAAGCGAAAATGGCGAGGCCTTGTTCTCTGATGTGAAGACTGCTTGTACTCAACAAAAAGCCAAAGTTTGAGGAAAGGAAAAAAAGGAAGCCCAATGATGTGTTCAGCTAGAACCTGAACCAAAGTGAAACTTTTTTTTTGTTTTTGAATGAAAGATTAGACTTTCCTGACAAACTGAAATGGAGGACAAGCTTTTTGTAATTGACATTGACTCAACTTCACTTTTACATTGAGAGGGGAAGGGGGGGGGGGGGGGGCTTGAGGAAATGTAGGACTTCCTTCTAATTTCTGAAAATATGTTACTGTCACTTGATTTTAGTTATAAATGATAAGTTTGCTCCTGTCCGCTGACTGCTAGGGCTAAACATTCAGGGGAGACTTCAAGTAACAAAAGAAAGCTTTCATTCACGTTTTGTGAGAACAGCTTTGTCAAGTGAATAAAGGACAGGTATTAGAGCTCCAGCTATTATTTTGATTAACAATCTTTTTTTGAGACATTGCTTAGAGCATAAAATTGTAAGGTTAAAAAAATACTATTAACAAGGGTTCCAGGTAATTTATTTCACCTTATAAAGCCTCTGATCTTCAGGTGGCCTCTTTAAAATGCCCTCCACGATGCGCTTCAGTTCGTAGACTGTGGTTGACTCTTTGGCATCTGTGAAGATGGTCGTCTTGTGACGTCGGATCATTAGAAACACATCCTGCAGTGAGATGAAGTGACAGGAGAAAATCAGATAGTGATGATAGTGATAAACACTGTAACCCTGATTCTCAGAAACACACGTCCTGTCTTACTGAATTAAGCTCAATTCTGTTTTCTGAGCATTTATATCAGATACTGCTCATCTCTGTTGAGCCTACAGAACGTATCCAGTGCCATCACCAGATAGATTTATCACGTGAGAAAAAGCTGGTTAAAGTTTGAGCAAAACAAACAGACGGTAGATGGGCGTTTATAAACTGAAACAGTCTCTGCTTAACCAGGTTATTCTGTGTGGGAACACTTTGGTAACTTTATGAGTAAGCCAAGTCACTTCTCTACACCTCACGTTTTAAATAGCCGCAGTGACACATAGCTTAGCTAAGGCAGTTTTAACCAAAGCTTCAGCCATCTGTTAACGCCAGCTGTAGCGGCTTCCTCGATCAACTGTTTTCACAGACTTGAACTATAAAGTTGACAGTTTGTGTTTCAACTCCTCTAACTTTTAAAACAAGCCCCGCTCACGCTAAACAACCTTTTTTTTTTTATCTAAGTTACATACATGGCAGCGTTAGCTGATAACTTTAGCCAGTTAGCTTTTGTGCGGCTAGATGGCTATTTGAGCCACAAAAATTTGGATGATTTATCTCGAACAACAGTCAGTTCGTTCACATTGATCGGACCCCACTGTGCTTAACTTGCTATCAACTTGAAGAGTATAGCGCAACGAGCCACCATGAGCTACTGTATTGACTAACGCAGGAGAAGCTAGCCAATGCTAGCAAAGGTTAGCTAAACAAAGACATTCGTCTCTGAGTGATCGCTTTGTGACCAGCTTAGCTGCTCAAATCAGGCATTTTACCGCTCTGGGGAGGGTTTGCCGGCTGACCTAAAGTCGGTTTTTCGTAGTCAACAGGCCACTATATTCTGTATGTGTTTTCCTCACTCACCATTTCTTGCGGTTGGCTGCACACAGTGGGGAGAAAAACTGCACTGCACAACGACAACTATGAGCTCAGAGCAGCATCAGACAGCCACCGCTTTAACTCCACCATCCACCAGCTGAGGGCAGCGCGCACAGCGCCGTCACTCTGTGCATGCACAAACTAATGCAACAGGAGAATATCTGTCTGAATGTCTTATTTCTCTTCATAACTGCTTAAATTATCAGAGTTAATCGGAGCTCCCGTTTTATAAAGGATTGCACCACGTTTTTTCTCCACACACTGAGACGTTTTGTTTTGCAAAAGTCAACACGTGAGCATGAATACTGAAACTCTGGGCTTAAATAAATGTGGACAATTAAAATTTAAAATAAAACAATGCTTTTGTTAATTCACAAAAAATCAGAAATTTCCATAGTAAGTGGGGCGAAACAGGAACTCTGTCATTTAACGGTTTATCTGTTACTTAATTACTTTGGTGTAGTATGAATGGGTGAGGTCCTTATCAGCATGAAAAGTTGTAAATCTTATAAAAGCACGGTTAAAAGCTTAAAATGAGTGGCCTGCTTGAATATTGTTCAAAGCTAACCTGTGGGCCGGGTTGGAGTCATTGCTGGCCAGATTTTGGTCCCCGGGCCTTGAGTTTGATACCCCTGCCATCGATGGTTAGCAGACAGATTAGTAGATGATTTTACAGCTGATAGTTTTAGCAGTCACTAGAGTTAAAAATACTGTTTTTAGCAGATGGGAATAGTGTTCAAATACAAAATTAATTTTATAAGTGCAAAGATTGTGTGTGTGTTTATCTATAAAATATTTATAATTATTCTGGATATTTATAAATGAACTCATCTATTTTGTTGAGATCTGGGGTAGGTCAAGGAAATCTTAATTTTTTTTCAGATTTTTTCTGATCTCGCAAGAAGCTTCCTCCTTTTGGATTCAACACAAGTAAAGTTTTGTAACATCGACACCTTTTAAACTGTTTCATCACGCCTTCCTTCCCTCAGAGATGAGTGGGATGACTGACCTGACAACAGCTGAGGTTTGGTTTTCTGTCTTGACCCTCAGGAGTCAGCAGTGTCTAAAAACAGTGCGACAGAAAAACACACACTTCTCTTTACTGTAAAATAAGAATAGCAGAAGTGAGTTGTAGGCTCGTCAACTGATTCTTGGAAAACTTGTAAATCAGCTGTTTGTGAAATTATTGTTAAAAAAAAAAAGTTTTACTTTGTTTTTTTCCAGTCTGGGTCCTCTTACTCCAACAGTCTGAAGACATGCATCGGGTAACTGGCGAGTCTAAATTGGCTGTAGGTGAGATTGTAAGTATGAATGGTTGTCCGTCTCTCTGTGTTATCATGTGATAGGCTGGCAACCAGGGTGTACCCCTCTCTCACCTTAAGGTAGCTGAGTTGGCCTCAAGAACCCCCAGATTGGATAAGAATAACATGGATAGTCAATAAACAAAAACTATTCACTAGTGATTAAAAATGATATTTAAATAAAGTTTATTGGCATCTTTTACCTTTTTACAAACAGAAAACATCAACGATCAGCAGCCTAAACCTTACCAGTGGAGGTGGCTGAACTGCTTGAAGTCATAAAAATAATAATGCTATACTGATCAGTCTCCTATGGCTCAGAAAACTGTCTCGCCTTCCTAACCTACATTTAGCTTGTTCCAGTCTCAACACTGCAGACATGCTGCTATATATTTTAAGCAAGACATTTTGCTGCAGTGCTACAGCAAAAAACTGAATTAAAATACTACATCCAAAAATACTTGCGAATGAAAAATAGGTGGAGCATCTCAGTGTATCACAGACAAAGTGGAAAATGCTGTCGAAATGCACAGCTTCATCAACAAATCCTCTCCACAGAACTCAGTACTAGAACATCCCGGTCCACTCATCAGGGTTTCCACCAGAACGAATACCTCCAGGACTGAACACGTTCTTCTTCCCTGGTTTGCTGCTAAAGCAGCTCCAGTTTGTTTCCAATTAAGTGACCTGAAAATAAAACTGAGACAAGTTGAACATCACTGTTAAGTCAGTTTAAAACAACACAGTGTAGTGTCACCAAAACTGGCATAATATTTTAAGACGTCTCACTGCTGGATTTGAAGTCGTTCAACTGATTTCTGATGCTTGTTAAAAGAACACCTCAATAATCTAACCGAGAGAAAATATAAACCTGAACAATTGCTATAGAAACAGTAATTCCCTAATCCCAGTGATATATTCCACAAATGCCCCATATGCTTCACACAGTTCCAAACAACAGTAAAATACAGAATATTATATTACAGTGTGGTGCACAACTCCACATAAAACTCACCGAATAAACTTCTATCTAACCACAAAGGCACTCTCTCGGATCTTGGAAAGTGGAAACTGTGAAAAAATGGATTACACAGAAAGTCATTTTACTTTACCTGTAAGATTTATTAAAGATTTATTAGAACTCAAATTTTAAAACCTATACTTACATCCAGTTCTCTGGGGAATTGAACAGGCTCTAGTCCCTTACAGCAGAGCACTGAGAAAGGCCTCTCCTTGGTCTCTGAATGCTCTTTGAAGCACAGACTGAACACTTTGGCAGGCAGGTAAACATCCCAGTCAGCTGCATGCTCCTCTATTAGATCGTTCACCATCCTGTTTGATTAGGAACATTACAGCACTGAGATGTTACTATGATGACAGAACATCCAGGTATTATGCGCCGATTGTTTGTAATAACAGTTTGGTCCATAGGTGCCAGATATTTTATATTTTTGGTGTTATTTATTCCCTTTTATCTCATTGAGAAAAAAAAACATAAATACTATTATAAAAGACAACTACATCATCAGCAGAAAATTGTTGTTCAAATATTCCTTTAGCTCCTAACAAAACAAGTACTGAGAATCCACAGAGAGTTCAAAATTGTCCAGACTCTTTCAGCTCCAATAAAATGAGCGTGACCGCTGTTTCAATAAAGTTTCATGTCCAGACATCCAAAAGTAAAGAAGAGCTAATTTCCATCTGAAGTTGACAAAATTCTCACTTTAGTATATTTTTTGACAAAAAAGAAAAAAGTAGAGCTCGGCTATAACTTTCGATGTTAAGGTAGATGGAAAAAATAACAGCAGCTTTGGGATACTTGACATATGCTTTACTACCAGGTGGTTAGTTATGGTCGAGCTGATAGAAACACATTAGCACAGATCTGGATAAAACTATTCTCAATAAAAGTTCACGTTGAGGGTCTCCCACTATCATCTGGTAGGAAGAAGATGATGAAAACGGACTATATTTCAGAGATGATCCATCAACAACACAATGCATTAAAACATGTTCCTGTGTGGTTTGAATGACTCACTATGAATAATCCTGTTACATCACCACTTAACAAACAGATACTGATGTTTGCCTGATTTATTGGTGCATGCACAGTTATAACTGCCCTAAAAGCACGAATGCATCTAAAACTATTCACTGCAAAACCAATATGGTAACAGAAAACTTCAGAGACTTTAACATTCGTGATATTATTAATAACCTAAGTGTTTTAATCCTGTGTTAAAAGCTACAAGTTTTCACCTGCAACAACAAGAGAATGAACTTTGTAGGTCATCCAAATGACAAAATGTATTTTGGTAAAATTAATCAAATCTGGAAAAGGACCAAAGGAAACAAAACTACAGGTATAAAGGCATAACAAGACTATAAAATGTCACAAAAAACAAATATTAGCACACCCTGGCTTTTTACAGACCTGTCTATCAGCTGTGGTGTGATCATATCTGCGATGCCCGTCTGCTGATGATAGACCACAAGAGCAACAGCAACCTTCAGCTGGTCTTTCAGTTCTCGGTTGATCTGTCATCGGGAAGACAGTCACACAGTATACAGTTGTATGAAACTGGACAATGAGGACACACTATAACATTAGTTTATAACAAAAAAAAAGTATCATGCATTATATTATGAGCTGGAAGACACAAAGGGCTTTTTCAGCTGGTGGTAACTCATTTCCAGTATAACATGTTATACTGGACAATTCAGAGTATATGTTTAATTTAACAAAAACAAAACCAATATTATTTCATTAGCATTTAATTATCATAACATCTCACAGAATAGATAAAGTTTCATTCTCAGCACCATATTTTTATACTGGAACTCTAAAAAAACAACTGTATTCATGCAAGTACCACAAGACAAAACTGTTACCCATTTGGAACAAACCACAACAGTATATGTGTGAAAGAAAATAAGGAGGAGTATATTAGCTTCTCTTTATGCATTATATGATTGCCAAGTTGGTCTTGTGAAGGTTAAATATGCTCTTCTAAATTAAAAGCATGTCACTATAATAACTACACATGGGTTTAACTGCCTTGGGTTTGGTTTTCAGGCACTAATTCCAAGTCAGATTTATAAGCCACTTTAAAAAAATGCAAGTTTCTAAACTTCAACTACATTTTTGATGTTGATATGAAATCAGGTTTTGCAAAACAGTCCAGGCAGATTAATCAAGTGTGCGCGCTCACTTTGTGGACTATATCAAGAGGCAGTCTAGAGAGGATTCTCAGTGGATATCCAAAGTGCGCAATGATGTCCACGACGTTCTTTGCCACATCTGAAGGGAGGCACGCTGTCATCGGCACAGCTTCCACCCATTTGGAGTAGAAGTCGGTCACCGTCAAAATGTATTTGTGTCCGTTTACTGTTTGAGGCAGCGGTCCTCGGACATCCAGAGCAAGCCACTCCCATGGCTCCTTCACCTGCAGTCAGGACAATGCATCAGGCAGAGGGACAAAACCACCCAAAACCCTGGTTTGGATTTGGAGTAACACCTGCAGGTAATCGTACAACAGACGTACCTCTATAATGTTTTCATTGTCTTTATGCTCAGGCTGTAAAAATGACAAAAGAGGAGGTGAATTAAGTGCTCCACGATATAAAAGACAAACCTTTACAGATTAAAGGGGTGTAAGAATAATGCAGCAGAGACAATAAAAACTGTGACACAATTGTGCGCAACACTCGGTGTCCTGATACCCGTGTGGAGCCCTTGGCTAAAGCTAGTCTGGTGAATTCTGTTTAAAAATGTCCCAGTAGTGGGTGAACTGGAAATATATGAGAATAAAAGTTTCTTTTTTTGTTTATGATCCAATCAAGTGATCAGGGTTGTGGTTTTAGTGTTCATCCGTTCATCCAGTTTCAGAGAATTATTACACCCCCAGTAGACTGAAAATATTCTACTTACACTGAAATTATTATCTGGAGCCCAGTGGATACTCTGTTGATGCAGGTGGAAACACACACATAGATTAACTCGCACTAATGAAGATAAACAACAAGATAAAACATATCGGATATGCCGTAAATGCCATAAGATTAGCTAAACATAAACTCTTAAGTTATCCCAGTGATCAGTATGTATAAAATACAATTCCATTTACCTGTGGTACACAGTAATCTCCATGAAAAAAGTGTGGAAATGAATCGATCTTCATCAGTGCTTCATCAATTATAATCCTCCATTTCTCTGACGTTTTGGGATCTCTAATCATTAAAACAGAAAAAAAAAGTTAAAACATTAAGGAAACGATAATATATATCTGTACAGAAATTATTAACAAAATAAATAAAAGAACAGGAAAATTTTTAATTTATGAAGGAGAAGCACCAAAGAAACCTCTCTGGTGTTTGATTTGATTTTATCTTTTTCCAAGAGAAAACCTGTGATCGACCAGAAAGTCATCTTTGCCAACACAACAAGTCCCAAGGAGACCTTTGGTTAGGTCTGAAAACTGGTTTAGTGACCTAACCAGTGGGCAGATCTCCAATGGACCAATACAGCAAACCACCATGACTGTAAATTTGTTTTTAAATGCGTGTACAGCAGGAAAATGTCATCTTAAATGCTTTTATCAGCTTTTAAAAGAAAAAAAAACAACTTAGGTTTGACATTGTGTTATACCTGTAAACTGTACCATCCAAAACAACCTTTTTGCAAGATTACTGTGGTTTTTAGGCTTGTGCATTAAATATATATCAATTTAAAATCTGAGGCATTTGTATAATGCTAACTGCTTCTATAAAGACATTTATGAGCCACAATCTTTCAGCAGGTAGCAGCTGACAAACCAGATTGTTTTTATACCTCTGAGAGAAACTGACTAGTCAGAAGTAACATGTTTAGTCCTTTTATCCTTTTTAGTCTTTTGCTTTTCTTCTAAAACTTCTAACAAATCTTAAATGTCCCTCACTGAGCACAAAACAAATATTTTTCTCAGCAAATAAATATCAAGCATCAAAACCACGCAAAGAAAAATGCTTTGTTTTCAGAATTTATGTGCATATTTGAATGTGTAGCTTATGACTACAAGGCAGCACTTTTAAGTACACCTGTGTGAACGATAAGAAGTGCACTAAAACTAAACTCGAGACTACAAGTTGGTCAGCAATATGGCTTTCTTTCCCAAACTACACGGTCACTATATATATACAGTGGAATATAACTGAATCAATCTGTGACACCTAGAAACTATTTCTCATAACCTCATTATGGTGTGAATGTTAAAAGCTCAGCAAATATATAACAAAAAAGTTGCAGATTTAGTGAATTAAGGAGCGATGAGAACAGGAGGAAGTTGGTTTTAGAGAATAATATGGAATATGCTGCTAATATTATTTACCACAATCTAAATTTTGATCTCTAAGCTCATCCAGCCTTGTTTCCTTTATTGAACAAACACTGCAAAAATTAAACCTTTCTTCATTTTAAAATGTTATTAATAACATATAAAGCCCTACATGGCTTGGCTCCTACCTATACAGCAGATCTGCTGAGACTGAAGAGGGTCATCTGGGTCTGAAAAGGTCTTTTAACTGTTTTACGTCTTTACTTTAAAACCAGAGGTAATAATGCTTTTGAGGTTGCCACTGCTAAACCTTCCTCAGCTTATCAGGTTGGCTGAATTTTTTATGGTTGGTTTTCAGTGACGCTTCATAACTCCGCTTTTCCTTAATTGTTTGACTGTTGTTTTTGGCCCTTGGTTCTTTGAATGTGTGTATGCAGGAATGAATGTAAGACTAACTGCATGTTTGATTATGTACACTTATCCTTAATGTGTGGTTTTATTCAAACGGTTAAGCACTTTGTAAATATGCGCTTAACAAATAAACGTATTATTAATAATTAACAAGCAAATATGCCCAAGAAGCTAATGGCAGTCTTCAAACTGTAAACACTGACTTATTAGACGTATAATTAATGATTAAAGAAACTGGCTCCATAGTGTAGCTGTTCACACATTTGCCTAAAAAGTGAAAGATACCAAGGCAGAGACACAAATCCCTCATGAAGGGCATCCGTACTGTGCATACTGAAGCATTACTGCTTATTATTGATTTATGAAAAGAGGACTAGGACAGTAGAATGTCTCCTTGTGTGTAGTTACATACCCAGATGTCTCTTGGTCTGTCTGGCTGGGTTCTTTGGCCCGGACACTGTCGTCTGTTGCAGGGAGAGCTGATGTTGCAGATGCAGCCAAATCCTTCTCTGAGCTTTTAGCACCAGGTTGCTGCTTTCACAATAAAATAAACAACACGCAATGCATTTAGAAAAATGAATAACATTAAACGTTAAACAATAAAAAGCTAACTGTCTGGGTCAGCTCACCTTGTGTCGTTTACGTCTCGGGTTAATGGCAGCCTGTATCAAGGAGACAGTAACAACACCTTTATTTTTAAAAAGCCGCTGGGCTTGAGAGGTTTAAACAGAAAAACAGGAGGAGTTTCATTATGCAGCTTTAAATATTTCACAAATGTTTTATTCCTAAATGATGCCAACAATTATCTATGATACACACAGACCTTCTTTTTCTGTGTGTTGTCAGTCGGTGTAAATATGGTGGGAACCGCATCTTCCCGAAGTGTCACACTTTTGCCCGTTTTGTCAATGTACTGCTCCTCAAAGTGATTGATGCACAGAACAGAAAAGCGAGTCGGCGTCCAGTCCTTCCACTTCATGTTCAGTACCCATTTTTTAAGTTTTCGGGGGTTGTACAGGGGAAACCTGCATGCACACACAGAAAACATTTTTTTCCCCTGTGTGAAAAGTAACTCACTAAAAATCGTGTAGAGTTCAGTAAATTTTACCTGTTGACTAACTCTGTTAAAACTAATTATGATATGCTATATTTAATATAACACTCAGTATTTCCAGCGTGATATACTGAATGTAAGCTAGATAATTAAGCTTAAACAACAGAAAAACATAATAATAAGAGCATAATTTACTGTTAAAAGTCTTAATCTGGAGTATTTTTGTCTCATAGATGTAATTTAGAGGATCTTAAGTGGTCTTTTTTCTTCTTCTTTTTTCGGTTGCTGCCTTTAGGGGTTGCCACAGCAGTTCATCTGCCTCAATCTCAACCTATGCTTAGCATCCTCCTCTGTCACAGCAACCCTCTGTATGTTCTCCTTTACCAAATCCACAGCTCCATGTTAAGCATCGTTTATCCAATATATCCACTGTCCCTCCTCTGCATATGTCCAAACGTATGTCCCCCCCTCGGCCAACGCGGATGCAGCCTGTGACTCTCTCCACTCTGTGGTCAGCAGACTGCAAACACAATCAAAAAAAAAGAGGGAGAGAGAATGCAGCGCCCCTGCGGGCGGTTTATCCTTCAAGCTCGGGTCCTCTACCAGAGGCCTGGGAGCTTGAGGGTCCTGCGCAGTATCTTAGCTGTTCCCAGGACTGCGCTCTTCTGGACAGAGATCTCCGATGTTATTCCCGGGATCTGCTGGAGCCACTCGCCTAGCTTGGGAGTCACCGCACCTAGTGCTCCGATTACCACGGGGACCACTCGTTACCTTCACCCTCCACATCCTCTCGAGCTCTTCTCTGAGCCCTTGGTATTTCTCCAGCTTCTCGTGTTCCTTCTTCCTGATATTGCTGTCATTCGGAACCGCTACATCGATCACTACGGCCGTCTTCTTCTGTTTGTCTACCACCACTATGTCCGGTTGGTTAGCCACCACCATTTTGTCCGTCTGTATCTGGAAGTCCCACAGGATCTTAGCTCGGTCATTCTCCACCACCCTTGGGGGCATCTCCCATTTTGACCTCGGGACTTCCAGGTTATACTCGGCACAGATGTTCCTGTACACTATGCCGGCCACTTGGTTATGGCGTTCCATGTATGCCTTGCCTGCTAGCATCTTGCACCCTGCTGTTATGTGCTGGATTGTCTCTGGGGCATCTTTACACAGCCTGCACCTGGGGTCTTGCCTGGTGTGATAGACCCCAGCCTCTATGGATCTTGTACTCAGAGCTTGTTCTTGTGCTGCCATGATTAGTGCCTCTGTGCTGTCTTTCAGTCCAGCTTTGTCCAGCCACTGGTAGGATTTCTGGATATCAGCCACCTCCTCTATCTGCCGGTGGTACATACCGTGCAGGGGCCTGTCCTTCCATGATGGTTCCTCGTCTCCCTCCTCTTTCTTGGGTTTCTGCTGCCTGAGGTATTCACTGAGCACTCGGTCAGTTGGGGCCATCTTCCCAATGTATTCTTGGATGTTCGTTGTCTCATCCTGGACTGTGGTGCTGACACTCACCAGTCCCCGGCCCCCTTCCTTCCGCTTAGCGTACAGCCTCAGGGTGCTGGACTTGGGGTGAAACCCTCCATGCATGGTAAGGAGCTTTCTTGTCTTTATGTCAGTGGCTTCTATCTCCTCCTTTGGCCAGCCTATTACCCCAGCAGGGTACCTGATCACGGGCAGGGCGTACGTGTTGATGGCCCGGATCTTGTTCTTACCATTCAGCTGACTCCTCAGGACTTGCCTGACCCTCTGCAGGTACTTGGTGGTTGCAGCTTTCTAGCGGCCTCTTCATGGTTCCCATTTGCCTGCGGGATCCCCAGGTACTTGTAACTGTCCTCTATGTCTGCAATGTTGCCTTCTGGTAGTTCAATCCCCTCAGTTCTGACTACCTTCCCTCTCTTTGTTACCATCCGACTACACTTCTCCAGTCCGAACGACATTCCAATGTCATTGCTGTATAGCCTGGTAGTGTGGATCAGTGAATCGATGTCTCGTTCACTCTTGGCATACAGCTTGATGTCATCCATGTACAGGAGGTGGCTGACAACTGCTCCGTTCCGTAGTCGGTATCCGTAGCCAGTCTTGTTAATGATCTCACTGAGGGGGTTCAGGCCTATGCAGAACAGCAGTGGGGACAGAGCATCTCCTTGGTAGATCCCGCACTTGATGGTGACTTGTGCTATGGGCTTGGAGTTGGCCTCTAGTGTTGTACGCCACATCCCCATTGAGTTCCTGATGAAGGCTCTTAGGGTCCCATTGATCTTGTACAATTCTAGGCATTCCAGTATCCAGCTGTGGGGCATTGAGTCATAGGCCTTCTTGTAATCAATCCAGGCAGTGCACAGGTTGGTCAGTCTGGTCTTGCAGTCTCGGCTGACTGTTCTGTCTACCAGTAGCTGGTGTTTTGCGCCTCTGGTATTCTTGCCAATTCCTTTCTGTGTCCCCTCATGTATTGACCCATGTGCCTGTTCATCTTAGCCGATATGATGCCTGACAGGAGCTTCCATGTAGTACTGAGGCAGGTTATTGGTCGGTAGTTGGAGGGGACCGGTCCCTTCTTGGGGTCCTTGGGGATCAGGACCGTCCGACCTTCGGTTAGCCATTCCGGGTGTCTCTCGTTAACTAGCAGCTGGTTCATTTGTGCTGCCAGACGCTCGTGGAGTGCAGTCAGCTTCTTTAGCCAGTAGGCGTGAACCATGTCGGGCCCTGGTGCTGTCCAACTCTTCATACTGGAGACCCTTTCTTGGATATCTGCCACTGTGATGGTTACTGGACCCTGTTCAGGGAGGTCGCTTGGTCTGCCCTCAGATCCACTAGCCACTGAGCATTGCCGTTATGGGTTGCGTCCTTCTCCCATATGCTCTTCCAGTATTGCTCCGTCTCCAGCCTTGGTGGTGCTGTTCTCTTATTATTGTTCCCTTGCCACTGAGAGTACACCTTTGCTGGTTCTGTGGAGAACAGCTGGTTTATTCTCCTGCCTTCTATCTCTCTGGTGTACCTCCTCAAGCGGCTGGCCAAGGCTGTGAGTCTTTGCTTGGCAGTTTCCAAGGCCTCAGGTATGGACAGCTTGCTGTATTTCTTATGCACCTTCTTTGTCGCACCTTTCTGCAACTCCGTTAGTTGGCTAACCTCCCTCCGTGCTACTTTGATCTTGCCCTCTAGCCTCCTTCTCCATGGAGGGTACTGCCCCTTGTGGCTGTTCAACTTGTAGCCAAGCATCTCACTGATCACTGCTGCCGTATTGTAGATCAGCTTGTTAGTGTCGGTAATCGTGGTTGTAGGTATTGTCCGTAGTGCTGCATTAACATCATCTAGCAGACCTTCTGAGGGTACTTCACGTAATCTTGGTAACCGGCTACGGGGGATCCAGGTTTCAAGCTTGGCCATTGATCCTATTTTTCAGGTCAGTTCCTCTCGCACTCAACGATCCTTCTCCTATCGCACTTGGGGCTATGTACCCAATCTCGGGTGGGGGTGATGATATCTCCCCCCTGACCTGGCGTCCTGACTCCTCCTTGCCGTAGCATTTGTGTTGTACCTCGTCAATCTCTAGCTGTGAGAGCAGTCCCTTCTTTCGAATGTTGGAACACTGAGCTACTAGTTGTTTCGCCGTCATTGTGGATGTTGGGTATCGAAGAATCCATAGGTCCGTCATCCTATTCATGTAGCCCCTTCCGCCGGGGTTACTTGCGTAGTAGCATTCCAACAACGCCCTGTTTTCGTCTCTTGCCCACCGATGCCTTCTTGTTCCAGTAGCCCACTTTTCGTCAGGGTGCCCTGGTTCCTCAACACCTGACGCGGACCTTGTTGATCCGGGCGACGTCCGAGCCGGCATGCCTTCATATTTATCTGTCTCGCTCATGTCTGCGGTAGGCTCGCTTAGCATAGGGGGTCTAGCCTTAGGACCCTTACTGGATACAGACGCCCCAGGCAGGAATCGAACTTGCGATCCTCTGCTCCAAAGGCGTGTAGTCTAACCACTACGCTATCCAGCTGCTATATGTATATATATATATATATATATATATATATATATATATATATATGTATATATATATATATAGTAGTATAGATATAGTAATGAGTGAGATATATATATATAGTATATGTGTATATATGTATATATATAATATATTTATATATGATATGTGTATATATAGTATATGTATATATGTGATATATATATATATATATATAAGAGAGAGAGAGAGAGGAGAGAGAGAGAGAGAGAGAGAGAGAGAGTAGTAGAGAGAGAGAGAGAGAGAGATATAGATATAGATATATAGATGGAATCACTTCCTTAAATTTCCTTAAAGCACTGAATTTTATGCACTTTAAAAAAAATTTATCATCAGTGGCCACAGTTGTAGAATCTAAAGTATTTGCTTTTGCACACTGGGTT